GGGGGGGGGGGGGAAGCAAAAATGCTGCTTACTCCCACCCAGAACTTGGATCAGAGAAACCGTTGAGGTTCGGGAACAGAGCACAATCTACTTGGCTTGCATTCGAGTGGGATGGGGCAAGTAACAGGTTGAACATGCAACTTTTGAAAGCCAATGCGGTTGATAACCGCTGGATACGAGACAATCACCGGGTACAGCCGGTGTCCGGTCGTGTGTTTGTCAGTGAGTACGGAAGACAAGGACAGCTCACGGATATGCCTCAAATATGAGATGCGAAATATCTTGAACCCAAGGATCTCAGTTTATAGTGCTAGATTGTGGCTGTTTTACCAGTTCCTCAGAATTCGCATGATCTGTATCTGTACACTCTGTGGCCAAAATGATCAAAAATGAGGACAAACAGACGTTCGGGGATGAGATCATGCACGATTGAAAGTACTCGAAAACTAAACAGTCTCAGAGCTGCTGACGAACACGTATGAGCAATCTACAGATACAGCTTATATGAAGTTCGGGAAGATAGTTCACCCTTTATCAAAAATAAGTCAGTCACGAAAAGGTCAATCAAAACTCAGGTGGGAAGGTCGAAAAAGACCCTCGATGGGTACAGATGAAAAACAGACCGTCAGTTCCTGAGTCCAGTAGTGCATAGATAATCAACGAACGCTTTGAAGAATGACAAAAGCTTTGGTCGGGATATCGTTGCGGGAAGTGAGAAACTGATTCGAAAATACCGATCAGGTGCCGCGGGAAGCAATAAATGATAACAAAATATCATTCATCCATCCTACAGAAAGAGACAAACATTACATTTTTGCATACCACAGGTTGCCATCGATTTTGTCAGATGTACTGCTATGAGACCAACAAACGATACTGTGCACACAGCATACACAAGCAAGCCTTTAGTAGTGCGTGTGCGCGAACATTTCGGCTACATAAAAGGGTGAGAAATAGAGATGCTTTCCAAATATTGGTTCAACTGGATTACTTTTCACCGCACAGCGCACAAAACGGTTCAATCAAATATGGATTGTATCGACGCTCTTTCGGGATCGGTTAAGTAGTAGCAATCGATAGTACACAGGAAGGGTAAACGATAAATTTTATTCGTGAAAAAGAACAATGATAATGGTAATCGGGTTTGTGTTCAGTAAACGCCTAGGTGAACTGACGCGCAACAGTCACCGGAAGGAGATAGGAGAAGAACCGCTAAGGGTCGGACAAATTCGTATGTCTGTGAATGGGTTTTCGCCAGATTTCAAGTCACATGTTTTATACACATGTATATATCCTCTTCTTTTCTGATACAGTTCGATAAAACGGGAAGAGGGCCACTACATTCACTTTTATCTACGTGGCAAAGAAGTGGTTCTGTTCAAATGGTGACGCGCAGAACACAGGGCACATGCGAATGCAATTCGTCAAGGGAAACGAGCACTTGAAACACAATACAATCATACCCGAAAATACCAGTCCCGGTGTGGCAGAACAACCAAAACGCCGACAGGCACAACAAATCACACAAACGGCGTATGTACAATTTTTAACTTTCTATGTATTACGTACTGATAATTGCAATTTTTATACAAGTTCACGCTCTCTTACCTCTCACTACGATCCATAGACAAACACACCGCTTGTGAATTTTGATTCGCATTCGTTCTCTCGGTTTTCAAAGGGGACGGTTCCGATAGTTAATACGTTACTGATTCCGACTCAGAACATACTCCAACCACAAGCCATAGTCTTTCCAATCTTGAATTTCAAGTACTGGAAGGCACCCTGTCCCTACATATGACCATATTCAGCCGGAGAATTACATTTCTTCATTTTTTTCCACATTTTTTCACAGTTGACCTAACAACTCCAGGGGAGGTGCAAAATAGTTTATTTTCATGGGCTATTCATAATATCATTCCCCTGTGTACCGTAACAACAATAACAACAAAAAACATTCCGCTACCGATAGAGTACCTTTCTGGGCGGTAAATGCAAAAAAAGTGCCGGTTAAAGAAAGCAAGATTGCGAGCCAGGAGGAAACCAAGTAGTGTATTTTCTAATCTAAAACGGACAAACAACTTCGGCCTGGATTTCAACCGTACTTTGGGCACTTGTCTATCATTGTTTGCGATGAATTCCCTGTCAGGTTATCATAAGGAACTCTTCTATTCACAAACACCCGAAATCCATTGCGTTGGTGTGGATCGAAAAACAACACTCAAAGAAAAATACTCGCATCGACTCACCATTGTAACTGCAATTGTTATATACTCCGTGTCTAACCTTTATCTTATTTATCCGATTTATCAAGTAGATATAAGCACAATGCGGTGTAACCGGCGATTTTCGAATAGCACCGACAGTCTACACTTCCATGGACCTCTTTGACTGTGCATGAGACCTAGCAATTAGATCATATCATTCAGGGCACCCGCAATGAACTCAGGAACAAAATAAACGTACATTCTCAGTGTTGGGATCACCGAATCAGACGAAAGACCGTCGTGGAAAACAAACTGATCGAGTGAAAACCATTGGAGTGCCACAAAATATGACATATATGGAAAGAGTAGACAAACTCCCATAATTGCGATTCTTACCTGTTGATCCCATTCGACTGGACAATGTAAATTTGCAATGACAAGCCGGTTCGTTGAGGACAGTTCTAAAAGTCGGTTCAGGGTCCGACGCGAAACTCGATTTGCCGGATTCCCAGCAGCCTCGTCATTTGCCTCATTCGGACCAGTTTCGGGTTCGACGGAACTATTAGAACCGTCAAAGTTGGGCCAATAGGAATACGGGATCGCGCAATCTTGAAGAAGCCGATGACAAAAATGCAGGGGTCCACCCATGAAGCGATACTGGGAGAGCACATCTGTGCATTTAAGACGGAACAGAGGATGGACTTGATCCGGTCGCGGAAGTGGTCGGTTGATTGATGATTTATCACCGGCAGTCTCGGACAATTTGAAAGAGAAAACCTTCGGGATTCGAACGCATTACGGCAAAATGGTGACAACTTTTGACAACTATTACCCACGACGCAGTACTAGCAAATGCAAGTCTAATCACAATTGCGAAATGAACATGTAGGTGTTCGGACCAAGTGATTGAAAAGCATTCGATTTTCACAAAATATTCGTAGCGCACTATACCACGAACTCACAAATGTTTATCGAACAAACGTAACTAGTGCTCGGCGCAACACAGAACAGCATTGTCCCTGTTGGACTAACAGGGACAATGCCAAACCAACTTCGCGTAATGGTGATTTAGAATTCACCTCGTTAATTGGCACGTTTTTGCTACTATTCCCGAAAACCATTGCTTGCATCCTACCGAAAAACATAACCGGGTTTATTTTCGAATTCCATTGATAAAGTATATGGCCGAGTGCATTGTGAGAACCCTAGTGGACTCCGCCCGCTACAATCACTTCAACCAATAGTACGGACATAGTCTCAGGTCGGTTTCGCTTTTATAACCAGTAACCATGCCCCAATTTGTGTGGCGGTTTTGGTTGCTGGATAAAAGAGTATAGGGAAAATCCGAACATTGAGAGAGGGAAGAATCAAAATGCTGGACGCAGTATTACGCCAAAGATTGAGATACAGGTACACTAAAGTCGTAAACAGATTATGAAGGTGCCCGAGCGCCACTGGTTGCAGCATACACTCCCCGCCTCTAAGACTCCGTTACGATGATCCCGAGGTCCCCGTCCAGGAAGCTTAATGCAACCCAGTCTGTCTGACAATGGACGTCCGAATCTCACTCCATTAAGCATCTGATTGAAAGCGTTCTGTACACGAGTGTGATAAACAGGCGAGATCAGTAGAACTATCTACGACCATAATACGACGACGCATGCACATACGTACAAACTCATTCCAGTCGCAACTGTCGAAATTGGGTAATCGACCCATCTAGTTCTCTCAAACAGGTGTGCGTAAAAAGATTGGGGGGGGAGATCGTACATGAACTCAGTTCAACAGCTCCGGTCAAGATCGTATTACAGTGTGAACGTCATATTCATGTCGGAACTGAATGCCTTGTTGCAAGTCGAGTTCATCTAACAGCAGGACGGAGCGATTTTCAAACTGTCTATGAGGTACCTGTAAAGAGCAATATTACCATGAGTAAACAATATCCATTACTGTGAAGTTTCCACCTCTTGGTCAGGTTTTTTATAACCTCATTTCAGGTCTTAGTTCGGACGTTTTTTACGTTTTTCCACCCCCACCTGCCTC